CGTAAAAGAACTATCCACAGTACCTTTCCACTCTTCAAACCTCATACCCGAATTAATATTCTCTAATTATTATCTATTTTTTGAATTAAAATAATAAAAAATGTAATTAAAAATCATAAAAATAAAATAAAAAATTCATAAATTCATGTAACTTCAGCAGGAGCCAAATGGGATAATTTTCGTGATTTTTCGAATATATTTTGATATTTTTCTCTATTTATTATCTATTTTACTGTATTTCTTGAATTAAAATAATAAAAAAATATAAATAAAAACCAGAAAAATAAAATAAAAGAACTCTTGAATAATCAACAGGAACTAATTGGCATAACTTTCGTGATTTTTAAAATATATTTCGATATTTTTCTCTATTTATTATCTATTTTATTGTATTTTTTTGAATTAAAATAATAAAAAATATAATTACAAACCAGAAAAATAAAAAAAAATTCAACAATTATTGTAATATCAACAGGAACTATTTGGCATAATTTTCGTGATTTTTAAAATGTATATTGATATTTTTCTCTATTTATTTGGTAATTAAAAATATTTTCGAATGAAAAAATTAAATAAAAATAATTACAAGTCGGAAAAATAAAATTCCAGTTTCTACGGGTAGATAATAATATAATTAATGTTAGAAAAAAATTTGGTTAAAAAATAAGTTGAATAAGATATAAAATATTGAGAAATAAAAAAGTTGCTTCCCTCGGCATTTTCAATGTCTAGTGGTCATTTGGCTGATTTTGTCCATTTCACTACTATAGGGGGGGAGGTGTCCAAGGAGGGTGCTAGGCCAAGGTGCTAGCAACTTTGCCCAAGGTGCTAGCAACTTTGCCCAAGGTGCTAGCAACTTGGGCAAAGTTGCTAGCAACTTTGGCAAAAGAGGGCCTGCCGCGCCCCCCTGCGGCAGGAATGGTGGGCCAGTGGTGGCGGGCGGGCGGCACCACCACCCAACGGCGGCGGCGCTCCGGCGGCGGCGGCGGCGGTCGGTCGGAAAAAAAAAAAAATTTTTTAAAAAAAAAAAATTTTTTTTTTTTTTTTTTTCCAGTCCCTTTCGGAAGAGGCCCGATAAAGAAAGATGCCGGATAAAGAAAGATGCCCGAATTAAGAAAGATGCCGAATAAAGAAGGTTGCTTGTCGCAAAAAAGAAGTTGGCTTGTCGGTAATCAAGATGAGGCCGGTGCGGTGCTTCGGCGAAGCCCGGCAACATGCATTCTTACGGGTTGGTATGGTATGATAATTTGTGCTTGTCCGACCATCATTGGGTGGAGTTCTTTCTCAATAGCCCCCAATAGGCGATTGGAGTGTCAAACGGCTGTGTTGCGTTGTGGGATGGCTCTCATTCGAAAATGGTGTGGTTAGTACGAGTTATGCTTCGAAAACCACTCTGTCGAGGAAGTGAGTTGTCCTTCGGGCAATGCTGTTGGTTTGCGCGTTGCCTATTGGGAAAGGTTGTCTCGCTCGTTTCTCTACTCCGGTGATGCATGATGGGCATGATTATTTGTGGCTCTCGAGCGAATCGGTGCTAGTAGGTGATGGGAATATAGGCGATGCGTTGCTATACGGCAGTCGGTGCTTCGTGGGATGGCTCTCATTCGAAAATGGTGTGGGTAGTACGAGTTATGCTTCGAACCCCGCTCTGTCGAGAAAGTGAGTTGTCCTTCGGGCAGCGGCTGTTGGTTGGCATGGTTGCCTGAATGTTGCGGTGCTCATTGGAAGTTTCGCTCGAGCCACTACTCAAGGTTGGATATTCACGAATGCATGTTGTCGGTGCCCGTTGGAATGTTTCGCTCGGACTCACTCGGTGATGGAATGTTCCTCGGAATAAGACCACATAAGTGGGTGGTGGTGCAAATAAGACCACATAAGTGGGTGGCGGTGCAAATAAGACCGCACAAGTGGGTGGTGGTGCAAATAAGTGGGTGGTGGTGAACACCGCAAAGAACAAGTGGGCTTGCATCGTGCTCGACGGGGCATATGCTCGGGTGGGCTTGTTGTTGTTTGTCCAGTGCTCTGCTCTTGCATTGCTTTTGGTCGGACAACGATGCGCCTTCTCGGGCATTGCGTACGGCAGGGCGCGTGAGTGGTGCTTGGTGCGCACGGGCTTGTCGGATCCCTGCTCGGGCAGCGACGGCAACTTGTGCGCGCCTCTTCAATCGTCGGTTCAAGTGTGCCTTGATCGGTGTCGGTTTCCTGTGCTGCGTACCTATCGTGTTGGTATCGTGTCGGTTAAAAGTGCCCCGTTTCGTCTTGCGTTGCATCCTTTTCAAGGCTGCGGCGTGGGATGGACCATGAAGCATCCGTCGTGTTCCACATCCCAGACGTAACTGTCCCCGGGTTGTTGGCGCACGGCGGCACGCTCGATCTCTCGGATGCGGAAAATTGAGTGGGTACGAGGCGTTGGCCCTCTATTTACCCCAAGAAAATGCGTTTCACGCTCTATGCGAACGACGACCGTCGCCGTCGCGATCGAGTCCTTGCGGCTTGCATCGCGCGGTGCCGGTGTCGGTAAGGAATGCTACCTGGTTGATCCTGCCAGTAGTCATATGCTTGTCTCAAAGATTAAGCCATGCATGTGTAAGTATGAACTAATTCAGACTGTGAAACTGCGAATGGCTCATTAAATCAGTTATAGTTTGTTTGATGGTACCTGCTACTCGGATAACCGTAGTAATTCTAGAGCTAATACGTGCAACAAACCCCGACTTCTGGAAGGGATGCATTTATTAGATAAAAGGTCGACACGGGCTCTGCCCGTCGTTGCG